TTCGACTACAGGGGCATGTCGACAGCTGCCGGCAACCATGGCCAGTCTCACGGTCTACCAAGACTAGACACCCATATGGGATTCGGTATGGGTGGCGGTCTTCGCACGGCTCCCATTCCAGGCATGGCTGGCTCTGATGACCGTGAGCTTGAGAAGTTCTTCGGCTCCTCAGCAGCTTCTACCATTAACCCGAACCAGCTGCACCACTTCAACGCAGGCATCGCACTTCCACAATCGCCCTTCAAGCAATTCGCTAATCCCTTCGCCGGCAACAATCCTATTGAGGAAGACGATTTCGGCTGGGGTATGGGCATCGACAGCAACATGGTCTTCACCGGAGCCAACGAGTCGGCTCTTGACGGCTCCTCGCCATCGGCCATCAGCACTGCGAGTCAGGGTGCTTTCAACGACATGATGCTGGATGGCTCAAGCCAACAAAACTCAGCAGCCATGTGGCACAACCCTCTAGTTGCGCACACCAGCATCAACCCAACCGCCTTCACACTCGATGCCATGGCTCCGGTCTTCCCTGAGCTTATGATGAACCACAACACTTCACAAGAGCTAGGCGATCAGGGTGTTCAGAACGATTTCTACTCGTCTACTCCACCTCCTTTAGTGGCCATGAGCCCTTCAGCTGGTATACCCGGTATGCCGAATCAGTACTTTCAGACGCCCATGACTTTCGCTTCTGATGCCCGCAGCATATCATCTTCCTCATTCAACGGCAGCGCAAGGCACAGTTCTGTCTCATCATTTTCCACTGAAACCATTACAGACTCTACGCGGCAGGCTATGATGTTCAACTTGACTCAAGCCATGGGCTACGGTCATGGAGCTCAACGGAGATTCTCGCAACCCGCAGTCAGCTCGCCTCTGTCCAATGGTACCGGGAAACCTTCAGTCCAGGCTGGTATACTCCCTAGCACTGTCGACATCCAGCGCTACGTCAATGCATACATCCACTACTTCCACCCGCACCTACCTTTCTTGCACATCCCCACACTTTCTTTTGATACCCCGGCGTACACATACCAACTTCGATCGGCCGGAAACTACAGCCAAGATACCATGGTTGGTGGCGGTGGCTGTCTCATCCTTGCCATGGCCGCGATAGGTGCTCTGTACGAATATGAGCAGAATGTCGCAAAAGAATTGTTTGAGGCTGCGAAGAAGCTGATTTTATTCTACCTTGATGAGCGCCGCAAAGCTGGACTCTCGGCTGTCAACGGGTCGAATGCCGCAAACGACCACATCAACAAACCACCACTCTGGTTAGTGCAAGCTATGTTGCTCAACCTCATCTTCGGTCACAGCTGTGGCGATAGACAGGCCGCTGAGGTTGCGAGCACCCATTGCGCAGCACTTGTAAGCCTTGCTAAAGCGGCTGGCTTGGATAAGCCAACCGCTCCAGAGCAGACTTCTTCCAGTCCACCCAATCATACTAATGGCGACAATGTGGATATGTCCGACGAATCGAGCTCGCAGTTTGGCCAACATGCAGATAGTGTGGACGAGCACGCTCAGTGGATTCAGTGGAAGAAGATCGAAGAGCGTAAGAGGACTTACTTTGCCATCTTCTCCATGTCGAGTCTGCTTGTATCCGCTTACGCGCATTCTCCACGCATACTGAACTCAGAGATACATCTAGACCTACCCTGCGAAGAGGATCTGTGGTCTGTTGACAGCCCTCAGACGTGGGTGGCTATGGGCGGACCAATGATCGCTCAGCAACGCGGTTTGTCTTTCATCTCGGCCATGACATACCTTCTCGAAGCCAGTTCACGGAATACCACCTCACGGATGCGGAACTCCTACCCCCAGGCATTCGCAGGCGGGCAGCCAATGAACGGACCCTCTGAGAGCGACATCCGGCCCAGCACATTCGGTTGCTATGTGCTGATCAATGCCATGCACGTTTACATTTGGGAAACGCGGAACAGACACAACGGTCGATTGTGGAAGGCCCAGGAGACAGAGGCCATGCATGCTCAGGTGGAGCCCGCTCTCAAGGCCTGGCAAGTCGCGTGGAGAGCCAACCCGAACCACAGTATTGAGCGCCCCAGTCCGTTCGGTCCTCTTTCCGCCGACTGTATCCCACTACTAGATTTGGCCTATGTCAGGCTCTTCGTCAACCTTGGTCGCGCGAAGGAGCTCCTGTGGCAGCGCGATTTTGACGGCATGGCGAACGAACTCGCCAGAGGCATTGACATCGTCGGCCAAGCAGACGGGACACCTGAGAGGTTTGCATCGATGGATCTCAACTCAGGTTCTCCAGGCCAAATGGGCTCACAGGACCACGTCAGTCCCGGAAATGCGGCAAACGGTTTCTCCAACTCCCAGTCGTCCAAACGCGAAAGGCATCTCCGAAAGGCCGCTTTCTACGCTGCTGACTCCCTTTCCATGGCAGACAAACTGGGTGCCTCGTACGCTGACTTCACGGCTCGGGAGCTTCCCAACTCATCCGCGTTGTGCACTTTCGATTGCGCTCAGGTCCTTGCTGAATGGGTTGCAACTGTGCAAGACCGTGTTGGCCGTCATATGGGCGTGCTCGGTAGAGATGAGATTGATTTTGCGGGCGTGCCAGCTGTTGTACTCCTTGAAGAGGAAGACATTAAGCTGCTACAGAAGATCTCTGATATTCTCCACCATGCTGATATGAAGCTGGCTTACGACATATCGTCCAACAACCTACCGATGCTGGGTAGTCTTTCCAACCTCGGACATTGCGGTTACGGAACCAAGTTGCTGATGGTGACGGCTTACATGCTGTCAAAGGCCGCTGTCTGGCCTGGTGAGTCTGCCTGCTCAAAACCTGTACAACGTCTGCTAATATGACAGTAGTAACCCATGTCCAAGCTCGTGCACTCGAGGCGCATGCCCAGCACATCAGTCAACGAGCAGAAAACTCGCTTCATATCCAGTAACCATCTGCCTTCTTCGAGCTTGTACAGTACTAGACTTCTTCGGCTGTCGATATGCCCACTGCACCATGTGTGCCTCTCGGATACCCTTTTTTACACACATTTTCCATCGGGTTACGACATTCCCAAACAACGACCCCACCCTCATGCGTTGATGGACTTTCTTGTACAGCTTGCTTCGTTGATCTGGATCAGACGCACTGCTTCGGTCGCTTAGCGACAGCTAGAGCACCGCGTCTTCCAGGTACATATTATTCCGGTGTGGATGGTTCCAGAGATACGTGGTGTCACCATCCGTCTGCTCACCTTTGACGACATCGCTGCCAATACTACTCCTCTTTTTGTCATTTCAGGCGTTAGGGACAGGACGCAGGGCGTTCCTTCTCATCTTGATTTTCCGGGTTTTATTAGGAATTTGTACACATGGCGCTACGTATCGAGGCACATTGCTGGTGAGCAATTGTGTCTGACCCGGCGGTGGCTGTAACACGCGCAGAGTAAGATGATACTACGAACAATCCTTTACGACAACCTGGGTATAGGGTATGGGCGGCGCAAATGGGACAATGGGTCAAAAAGTCAATTTTGATCACGCAGCTAGGGCATACCTGCATCACGAATGAAAAATCTACCACCCCAAACTCCATTATGCCTTGTGACTCCGCGGTATGCCGCTGATACTTCAACCGCCTTCTCCGGTGCAACCCCTACAATGAGATTCAGGTTCACCAAGCATTCTGATTCGCTCGGTGTACTGTGTCACCATCTTAGCGGGTGGCTTACCACTGCGGCGTTGTTCTCGAACCAAGCAGCGGCGACGCCGTTTTGAACCTAAAGATAGCCAAAAGCCACCTGAGCAAGATCAAGATCTGGACCCTTCAACGAAATGAGATCTAACTACCAAAAGACATATTGCGTGACTTGGACATGTCCTCATCTCCGCGCACATCTACACGGTAGACTACACCACAAGAAGCCCCCAACCAATCCGCTATCTCGATGACCAACACCTCGATGCTCACACTACCCCAGCGCCCAGCCCAAGCTACACTAAGCCTCACAGCCTCACACCTCTAACCCAAACACACCACGCAGCGCCGCCGCCGCCTTCGCCAAGCTCCTACGCGTAAAACCACTCGTACGCAGATCGAAGCACCAACGCACTAACCCAAATGCAACCACACACCACGTGTACATACGAGCGTGCGAGTCTCCATCCTTCCCCCGGATGCGCTCGGATGACATGGAACACGGCCGGCACCATTGGCGGCGATGCAGCCGGTGCGCCAGCCGCACAAAAAACGTGTACGGTGTCGGAGGTAACTCCGGAGTTGATCATGGGATTGGGTGTGGATGGGAATAGCGCGGACATGACATGGAGGGACGGCGCAGGGTACCGGGTCAATCAAGGATGCTGGGCAGGGTCAGGGTCAGGGTGGGCTGGGGAAGGAGGGATCGGGGGAGTGTTGCTGTTCCTGGATTGAGAGGATGAGCAGGTTGATTGGGGTGAGAGGCCGGTCTTGGGATGTGTTACGTTTTGAGTATGTTGAGCGATGGTGTTGGGGGTGGTAGGGCCGATGATGTAAGATGGGGGTGAGGCTGAGGCTGAGGTTGCGATTGGTGAGTGTGGAGTGGGAATATGTGGATGGGAATTGGAGTCTGGCATGCCATATGGAGTGTGTTTGTGGTGCTTACTGTGAGAGCGCGGTACTTTCTATGTGTGGATAGCATGGACTTATTGTGCAAGAGACTTGAGTATGTGTCGGCTACAAAGTTCACGGTAACCTCAGCCCTCTGAACCGCAGCTCTGACTGTCCTCCGTTTACGGATTCTACGTGGGCAGAAAATCGAGGTGTAAGGGCTGTCATTCGCGACTACCTGCCATGCGTACGCGAAGAGCTGGCTGCGACGCGTTGATTGGCTAGATTCGGAGCTCGGGTCGCGTACACCTTCCGCTACAGATCGCTCTTTCACGTCAACCACATTCGCGTCTCTGTTTCAACACATAGCCTATTTATCATCACACTCGATTCACAGAAAGCATAGCAGAGAATAAGAAGCGTATCGATTGTCAGGATGTCGCGCCCAGCAGCGCGTAAGGCCGCTCCTAAGGGGGAATACATCGAGACCGTATGTCTCTCCTCCCCTTCCGCATCAACAAAACACCCGAAAAAACATTACACATATCTTCCACGGCCCATCTCCACATCCTTGCTATTTCATAACACCATCAAACCCCCAACCCATGAACCCTCCCCACTAACACCACCCCCAGGATTCCGGCAACAAAGTCTCCCGCCGCAGCGCGATCACCGGTACTGCCAACATCACGCTCGGCGGGCGCACCGTCATCATGGCCGACGTGCAACTGCGCGGCGACCTGCACCCCACACGCTCGGCACCCTCGTCGTCTGGTAAGGACGTGACGCCGACGAGCATCAGCATAGGGCGCTGTACGGTCATCAGCCAGGGAAGCGTGATTAAGCCACCGAGCAGGATTAGTAGGGGCCAGGTGCATTATTATCCGATGAAGATTGGGGATAATGTTTTCGTTGGTACGTTTTGTTCGGTTTTCTGATGTCTGCTTTCTAGAACTGTCATGCGAGAAGTCTGGGTATGATGTACGTTGTGTTATACTAATCTAATGATGGCAGGTCCAAACTCGACTGTCCAGGCTATTTCCATTTCTTCTCATGTGCACATTGGGCATCACTGCAATATCGGTCCCTTTGCTATCATTAAGGAAAACGTCAAGATATTACCGCACACCGTTGTACCAGCGAATATGGTGATTGCGTCGGGGTCTGTGGTGGGTGGTCAGCCGGCGCGGGTGGTGGGCGATGTAGGAGAGGGATGGGGTGTTAGTGGAGGTGGTGGAGGCGGATTGGGTGTTGGCGGTGGAGGGGAGGAGAAGTGGGTGGAAGGTGGTGATCTCAGGGAGCTCGTTAGAAGTATCAGATGATGGTGGGAGTTGCGCGTGGGTGGAGACGAGATGGGGACGGAGAGATATGGCGAAGAGAGGAATGGGGTGATATCCAGGGAGTGTTGATGCATTCTTCCAGAACATTGCGAAATGTTATTTCTGGTCCATTGATGCTACCAAACTACGATACAGGTAGTTCAGATCCCATCTCAAATAGGTACAAAGAAAAAAGGCGAAAAGCGCCAAACAATCGAGCGCAAGACTTGCGCAGCTCAGCGACTACCAACGAGATTGCATCATAATTTTCAAGCCAGCCCTCGAACATCGCTACCTATTCATCATATGGACCGTAACAACCGTATCGTTCGTATCACTCAAAATCTCCATGACAGGCATACATAGATCGCAGCGAAGCGTCTCCATTCTCTATCCTAGCTATTACCCGCCCGTAGGTGGCCAACGTATTTACATCCATCTACACCATCTCGTTCCCCTTCTGCGCTTTGACCTCCATGGTAGTCAACTCAAACTCTCTTTTCTGGTAGATACCCTGAGTGTCCCAAGAATCGGGGCAACTCTCGCTTTTCGTATCGTTTAAGGTGGTTCGTCCATCGGAGTAGATGTGCGCTTTGTGCGTGGATTTGGTGCCGATGGTTGGGCCGGGGCCGAAACCGAAGCCGAAAAGGGATGGAGCTCTGTGTGATGTTAGCGTTTTGTGACAACGACGGTACAACATGAGGACGTACCGGCTGCGTCGCCTTGTTCCCTCTGCGGTGGACGCCAGCTTCTTCGATGTAAGGGAAGTCTTGATGTCCCGGAGGAGAGGTCGCAACACGGGTATACACTGAACGATGATGGTGCCGACGATCTCCGAAGAATACCAAATGTTGGAATGAGCGTTGCGCCAGAAGTACCACTCGTCCTTCACGTTGCCCTCGTCCTTCCAGCCTGTGCGTACAGCAGATACGATTGCAACAAACATTCCCTATTCCAAAGTCAGTGGTGGATTATAGGGGCATACTTGAAGCGACGCACCAAACTCATGGCAACACAAAGCCCGATTTTTTCCACCTTCCGCATGTCGAGGTTCCACGTGATGACCCAGGGGAAGACTGCGAGGATAAAGTCCATAATGATGTTGTACACGTTGCCGCCTTCCTTGAAATCGTCCCTAAACTTCGAGTCCAGGCAGAAATTCAAGCGGTACCAGACGTCGTAGGACTCTTTGCCGCACACTTTTGCCCATTGGAGAACGACCTTAGCAACCATGTATGCATTCATACTGCCGATGATAAACCAGAGAATCCATTGGCCCCAGTTCTTAGTCAGCTTGAGCAAAGTGACGGCGAAGGCAGTTTTGGTGAGCGATTGGTTGATCAGTGTTCCACAGGAAGTAATGTTGATGAGTATGTGCATTCGATCATCCCATGTGTCGGTCACATAGCCCGTGGCATACTCGGTTGTGATGATGGCATTGTTGACAGCAAGTAAGACCTGTTACATCGTCAGCTACGACTATCTGTAAGCCCAACAGGTGTCTTACCCATGCAACGAGGAGGATGTGGTCATCCCACCAGAGACCGTGGCGACGAGTGACTTTGATCCATATCCGGAGCGCCAGGAAGAGTGATGCACCAGCAAACAACGCCCATAGCCCAATGTTCAACTCGAGCGAAGGATCCACGTAGTGGTGATGCGAATCATCGTGGTTCCGGCGGATCATGTTTTCCCAGCGGTCGGAACGGGATGCGGCATAGAAGCGAAATGAAGGAAACCGTAAAGAGTGAGATGTAGTCGCAGACCGACAAAGTTAAGAAACGAACGAACGAATGCCTCCGGCACTCTACACTGAATGACCGGGGTGGTGGGTGGAAGAAACGACGAACAAGAAACGCCGTAAAGTGCGAAGCGGCACGAGGTCTAGATGACATTTGCGCATCCCCGTGCAAGGATCCCAGGGATTTCCTGTTGTTAGCATCGATCACAGCCCAGCAAGCGACAATCTGCTTGACATTCCAGACTCGGAGGTTTTGAAATGAGTCCCATCTCGAAGGATGGTTGGTGGAACCACTATGCCGGTAGTGGGCAAGCCCCGGGCGCCGTCGCACGATAACAGCTGTATCTTCCGATGTATCCTGGGGAAGCTCGTGTTTGCTAACTGAGATAGACGTTAGTAGGCGAGCCTCCCATGGCTCATGCGGACGCGGAAGGGCTCCGTCATTTAGTCTGCTTGGGAGAAGGAAGCAGAAGCTGCTCAGTGCCCTTTAAGCGGTGGTTTGACGACATTCAGATCAGCGATGGTCATGCTGAGATAGCTGCCACACAGTGGGACAACGTCGCACAGATGTGCGAAACATGGCAAATGCCGCGACCGTGCTCGCTTCTCCTGGGTTTGCGCAACGTTCCAAAGTCGTTCCAACGTCGTTCGAAACAGGCCACGTGCTGAAGACGCCACTGCGCCCGTGTACTGGCGGAGAATTACGACTACGATTATCCTTGGGGGGCGGCTCGATATTAATCGATGCATTGCAAACACCAGGTCAGCTGCGCCGAGCGTATGGTACGGAATGGGTAGGCCCGGGAAGCCGCAGTTATGCCGACCGGCGGTAATGACTGGCATCCCCAGCGCGCAGACTCTGCTGTTGGGTTTCTTCGCAGAGTTGGACACGAATTCGATGAATCGCGAGGGAAGGGGTGGGAAAGAAGTGTTTCAGATTGAGAGACGCTGGGTCAGTAGCCGATGCGCTGTTTCGAAACGGGTAAAGCATATCCGGGCGCATGAACGAGGACGTCATTCGATCGTGCGCGCGACGAACACCTCCCTTTTTCTTCTCTATTCCCGACGTACCATGCTATAACAAACACATCGGTTAGCAGTATAGGAGGAGCGATGCTGGATGACTCCAGAGCATTCACAAATGAAGGTTGCGCGACGATGGTTCCTCATTACCCACACCTTGAAGCGGAAACGATTGGGCATGTACAGCGGCGTTCCTTCTCTTTCGCTCTTATCCCACTTTCTGTGCAATCTCTCAAGATGCTCATTCCTTTTTTCCTACTTCCTCCACTTCGCGATGGTTCGACGTCCTGTAACGCTCCAACGGCGCGCGATCTCAGGTTTGGATGTAGCGCAACCGCCGTGAATTCGAGGGCTAAAGGAATCAGAACAAACTACGCGTAGGCGCATGTCGAGCTCAGCTCTAGAAATTGCATTCATCTAGTTCGCCAGATCTTGAGTTGATCTAGGGCTCGCTCCTTCTTCGACGCCGTTAGAGACCCGTTTCGCCAGGTGCGCATCGCCGACCAAGCGGCATGCCAATGCCTCCTCGAAGTCCTCGGATGCGATTGGCTCGTCCGTGCTTGGAAAATTTTGTCGGCAAAACGTGTCTATTAGCCGACCTCAGATCTCTTAGTTGTAGATTTGGGTGGATGGACATGATCTTCAATGTAGCAAGCATCCCTTGTTAAAGGGGTTGAGGGCGCGTGCCCTTGCGAGTTGAGAAGGGTGAGCGAGATTGGTGGAGTGGTTGTGAACCAACGTTCGCATGGGCAGCCAGGCCTCCCGAGGTCACGTGAATTCGGCCTTCACTTATCCGCGCTCTTAGTCGCCTGGGCCATATCCAACTTGCTCCATCGGGAACACTTCACAGTCATGAGCGAATTCTCAGCGAGTTGTTGTGTCTGTCTGGTAATCCAAGCGACGGCATTGGCAGATACGACTACGTTCGCGAACGTACCCATGGTTCGACCATGATGGGTACTACCACTGCACACTTCTGATGAACCAAGGGAGGGATTTGGCGGTGCTATTCCTTTATGATGAATTTAGAATTAACGTGCAGTCACCATCGAGCAACAAACTTCTTCTCACATCTCAAAAAGGAGGACACGAATTACAGCTACATTCAACAACCGGTCCAAACATACGCAGTTCAGCAAGATGGTTCCATATCTAACGCCGGCAAGCGCACTACGCTTCGCAACCAGTCATGCCACCAGTTCGACAATAATGCCACTCATCTGTACACTTGCAAGGCCATCCACCTTCTCAAGAAGGAGCCTCACCCCATCTCGCGGCTTCCGATCGTCTATCCAGTCCTTGGGCCCCTACAAGAAGACCGTAGCATCACCAAAGGTTTCACCACCCCGCTTCCAAAGACCGATACCTCGAATCACCCCTTCTATTCCGTCTCCACGGAAGATTAGGTATCGACACACATCCAAGGACAAGAAGCCCGTGTCCAACATCCACAGATACTCAATCCTCGCTCTACTGTTCACACCCAGTATAACGTTTCTAGCTGTCGGAGTGTTATACGGATATGGATTCAGCGAGCCGACCTCCAAACAAGGGGGTGAGAAAACGGGAGAAGCAACGGGGAAAGAAGTGGGAAAGGCAACGGGAGGGGCATTGAAAGATGGATGCCGGGTGTATACTTACAGCCAACCCTTGCCATGGCAACCCTGGCAACCCTGGCTCGTCGGCTTGTATATCTATGGAAGCTTGGAGTAAAAACTCTGGAAGACTTTTCGATACGCCGTTTTTGTCCCACGGCGGCTG